GATTTCCCACCTCTCAACCTCAAAAGTGTATAAATTCTATGCTTTTCTATTGTTCAGGGTCTCTCTTTCTTGAAAGCAGGCACCCAATGATCATTGCAATAAACATGGTTCTTCTCCTCAGCATTGTGCTCCTGTCTTTGGCAAAAATTCCACAACACAAATATCCACCTTTTCAATTTTTGGTTGTTCTGTTCTGTCTTTTTCTTTCTTTCTTTTTCTTTTTCTTCTTTTTCTGTTTATATATATTGTTTTCTCTGGTCAGTGACCAAAATAAATATTATCTCTATTTATCTATCACCTACACCTATTCTCTCTCTCTCCCTCTCACACACACACACACCTTACCTTCCTTCTTGATAGATAGCTCAATAGATGAGGAGAATGCTACAAGTATAACTTACCTGGACCTACGAAGATTTTGATGGAGTTTCTCATGATGCTCTCCTTAAGGAAATGGTGAATATGAATGACATGATACTACTATGAGGTGGATGCATTAGGTGAATGAATGACCACGCCCAGAGAGTGCCATTAATGACTCCAACATGGAGGGAAGTATTGAGTGGAATGCCACAGGGTTCTGTCCTGGGCCTTGTACTGTTCATCATTTGGGTAATGAAATGTTTGCAAGAAAACAGCCAAGCTCAGAGATCCCCAGGGACTCCTCAGTTCAACCCTGAGCTACACATATTCTCTTCTATTGGTATCAGTGATTTGGATAAAGAAGTTGAGGGAACACTTACAAAGTTTGCAGATAATACAAAACTGGGAGTAGTAACCAATATTTTAAATGAAAGAGAAAAGATTCAAAAAGCCCGAGACAGGCTTGAGCAATTTGCTAAAATGAATAGGATCAAATTTTACAAGAACAGATGTGTTGTTACACAGAAGTGGAACTGGGCTTATTTTCTATTGTTCTAGAAGGCAATATCAGAATCAATGAGTTAAAACCAAAAAGAGCAGGCTGACAGTACAAACTGTCAAGTCAGTGAAACAGGCTGCCACATGAAGTGGTGCGTTCTGCTTCCCTGGAGGTCTTCAAATAGAGGCTGGATTGTCATCATGATTTAGTAGACCCAACAATGAGCAGGGGGTTGGACTACATAACCTCTAAAGCCCTACCAACTCCACAGTTCTATGAAATGGAAATAAGGCACCAATAAAATCAGTTTTATTACCAGAAACTCAACAAAAATTTATTTAACCTTGAATGTCAAGCATATTACAAATGACAACAGAAAAACCAGCAAACATAGCTAGTTAATAGCGCTTTGTGTAAATGCAGTTAACAGAAAATCTTTCCATTAATATTTAAAACCAATTCAAATTCTGATGGAAATTGTACAACTGAGTTGGTTACAATGTCAGTACACTTCTTGAATGCATCTCATTTTACAAATTGAACACTGAGAAGAAGCACCATTGCAGAGACTGTAATTATAAGGAAGCATCAAGGGTCTCTTGTAAACTGTTGGTCTGACATTTGCAATCCTATAGCAAAAATGGTAACACAAGTTCTATAATCAGGGTGAAAAGATTAAATAAAGTTATGCTTTACTCTGCGAAGGTTTGCTTTTTACAAAAAAAAAAAAATCTTTGCCAGACTATAGTTAGAAATCAAAATTTTAAATGCGTGCTTTAGTCTATTTTAGAAGCTTCCAGAGATGTTTTTGCTTGGGGATAGAAACGTATAATCGACTATTTTGCATACATTCATAAAGGACAGCATGGCTAATAATAAATTGTATCAAATTGCCCAATTATAAATTAAACATTTAAAAACAGATAATTCGTGTCTTTCTCAATATGAAAGACAAAGAAATTGGGGAAATTCACAAACTTGTGAAAAAACAACCAGCCATGTTCCATTAAAATTAAGATGCTGTATATGCTGGCTGAATAGAAAACCTTTCACAGTGATTTACACCTGATTACCAAGTGCAGAGGGCCCAATTCAGATTCCAGCAAAGTCAATAGGTTGCCAGTGGACTTCAAACAGAAGCAAGTGTTGCTGGGCAAACATAATAATTAAACTAAACTCACTGGAGAGCAGAGCCTGAATACAGATAGAGAGCCATGATTGAAAAGTGGTGATGATTTAAGGTAATGAGGACAAACTACTGTCACTATTTTCAGTGATAACTAAATTCAACTGGATTGGAGACCCAAATCCCATATACTGAATATGGGAATTTTTACCAGATTATTTTACACCACTAGAGGTACTTTAGTTCCTAGGAATGGGAATTATTGCCAGTTATCTTCCTGAGTCTTGAAAGATTATCTAAGGCAAGCACAAGGGCTAGTCTGCCACTTACACATCTCAGATTAATAATTTGGTCCCTTTCTAAATGGATCTCTTCCTACAATTGCACTAAAGCATAGAGATGGGTCACAAATTCCAGGCTGTCCAGTTTGTCCTGGAATTCCAGGACTTCCACGTTCTCCATCTTTCCCAGGCTCCCCACGTTCTCCAGGATGTCCTTCTTTACCTATCCCTGGTAGGCCTTCAGGACCTAAATAAAATGTGGAATATATAGATGAAGAATGTTTAGCATCCATACAATATTATAGTTGAGTAAAGATTTGTAGCCTGAATTACACCACCTAGATAACTCAAAGCTTTAAACATTTAAACAGTTAAGATCTAAAGTTGAGGACCTGAAAAGGACATATGAAAACGACTTGAATTTTGCAAGAATACAAGCATGTATACCAGCTCCTGAAATTCTTTAGCCAGCCAACCTTGAAAGTTAATTAACATTAACTGAATCCTACCAATTAGGCAGGGACCCACCCCGATCCAAGCCATTCCCAGCTCAGTCTCTCCTAGCCCCTAGCCTCAGTAAGGTAAGGGACTGCCTCCTCTTGAATTCCCTCATCACCTATCTCCCTCCCCCATCTCTGCCCTTTTAGCCGCCCTGCACAGCAGCCCTCCTCAGCAGCACGCCAGCAGTACTGGGGCTGAAGTAGAGGCCTGGGGCCTTCAGCTGTCTCAGCAGGCCACCACTGCTCCTGGGCCTCAACTTCAGCCCTTACCTGAGGCAGCTGCTGGCCATGCCAGGCCTTCTTCCTGAGGCTGCTTGTTCTGTTTTCCAAATAGCGTGTCCTGTTCTTGTGATGCTTTGGAAAGCCTTTGGAAAGTTTCTGAGGCCTTCCAAAGCATCACGAGAATGGGGTATGCTATTTGGAGAATGGCGCAAGTGGCCTCAGGAAGAAGGCCTGGCACAGCCAGCAGCTGCCTTGCATAGGGCCAGGCCAGACACGCCTCATCAGCAGCAGGAGGAAGATGGCTACGGTCAGCTGGGTGTGGCAGGGCCTATGGAGTGCAGGGTGGTGAGGGCAACTGGGGTTTTGTGCTCTGGTGCTGGGTGGCTGGCCATGGCACAGGGCTTGAGAGTGCTGAAGATCCTCTGTCTCTACTTCAGCCCCAGTGCACCAGCAAGGATTGCCGTTGTGCAGGACAGCCAAAAGGGAAGAGTTGGGGAGAGATAGGCAGGTGGGAGGAGTTGAAGTGCCCTTGTGGTCATAAGTGCAGGTAGGCTGCCAAGTGCCCGAATTTTGATCATGTGACTGTGGGGGCGCTGCAACAGCTGTAATTTTGGGGACTGGGCATAAGTACCATTCATTCAGTGCTGCTGTAATTTCGAACAGTCGCTGAACAAACGGTCGTAACTCAAGGACTATCTGTATGCAGAAGTCAGTCAAGGGTTATATTCACCACTAAAACCAACAGAAATGTCTGGGTTCCCAAACAATACCTGGAGGTCCAGGAGGGCCTTGAATCCCAGGAACTCCAATACCTTGGTTTCCTTTAGCTCCATTTTTTCCTGGTGGTCCTACAAGATAAGAAGCATAATAATATAGGAGGTCAGTAATTCTCAAAGAAATATTAAGACATATTTCTACACTAAACTACTATACAATATCCTGGCTGTATCTTACATAGGCAACTCCTACTGGAAGTTAGCAGACGGAGCATTGCATGACATAATTCTGCATTTCTACAGTGGATATTTAATCACTTGCAATTCATACATCTGCAGCCTCAGAAGAAACAGCCCTAATAACTCTGTACACTGTGGTTTAATTGACTGCATGGCTCAGGTAAAGATTTGCTTAAAATAATCTGATAGTTCATGGCTATATCATAAAAATCCACGCACCACAAAAAAACCCCTGCACTAGAAAGGCATAGAAGGAAGGCAAGAAGTATTACTACACAAGACTTTGGTTCACGTAGCTGGAATTGGAAGATGGAGATCAAGTTTTCAGAACAGATTATTACAATGATATACAGTTGTAAATAACATCAGCAACAATCTGGTAGCTCAGCTTTAGTGACAAATTGCTGATGTGGTTTAGCTGTTGCCAGTGGGTAGCAGCTTATATTAATCTCTCTAACTACTGTTGGTTAAATAAGGGATAGTAAGATTAAGTATCAATCCTTTAAGATGCTCAAAGTCCAGAAGACACTTTCGGCATATTGTGGGACATCCCCACTTGATTGAAAAACTGGGCCATTTACAGATATAGTTAACTAAAGAGGCTCTTCCAGTTCCTGTCCCATCACAATAAACTAGTAGGTAATAACCAGCCCTGGATTCAATGGTGTATTCCACTAGATGCATGAACAAGGTATTATGGGTATAAAATATAGGGCCTAAAATTACCTTATGGCAAACACTGACGGTAAAATTACCCCCAGTTGTACTGCTTTCTCTTGAAGAATTGGGGTATTCAGTATTTTGTTTTTGGAGAAGGGTTTTAAGTAGATGGGAGGTTTCACATAAATATCCAACAAAGTAAACTGATACAGCTGAGGGGTGCCCCCCCCCCCACAAAAAAAAAATCAAAAAAAAAAAAATATAAGTATG